ACATTCCCGCTACTCAGGCCGACACATTGACCCTTCTGGGCACACGCGACCATAACACAATTGGCTGCGGCTTGTTGATGCATTAGGCCAGATGTCAACATATTTAGCCGCGAGAACCAGGCGGGAACGGGCCCGGGACCTCTTTGTGGAGACTGACGTGCCAATATTTATGCCTAATTGTGGCTCCCCGCACACAAAGCCTCGGTCAAGGGTCCTCCGGGCGGGGGGAGGGGGCTGGCAGGGGCTGAAAGGGGGCCTGGAAGGGCTGCACTCACTGTGAAGGGGGAGCCATTGTGCCCGGGGGAGCGAAGGGGCGCTGTCACCATGAAGGAGGCTTTGCTATGCGCGCGGAGGCTCGGGAGGCTGGGAAGGGGGCGAGGAGGGGCAGCGGGAGACAGTCTTTATCTGAGGAATGAGAGAGGGAAAGGATTGTTCCCTGACAGGCTCTTGTGCTGGAAGATAAGCCGAGGTCCTTCCCGGATTCCCTCTGGCAGACCCGTCACGGCGTGATCGTGGTCTGAGAGGGAGAAGAAAACAATTATAATGATGTGATCAGAATATAAACAAAGGCTATAAGTTACAGATTACTCTATCGACATCATACGGCCAGTTTGTTAAAATTGTGGGAGGCCCAACCCAATGAATATTTATATATACGGACATACATATGCACGGAAATAATTGTATATCTATCTACCTGACAAATATGCATTTATCTATCTCTTCATCTGGTAGATATGCATGTCTAGACTGATAGATATGTATTTATTTTGTGCATATAAATGTGCATATGAATATTCACTGGGCCGGTCCTTACACAATTTTAACAAACCGACTAACGACTAATAGTTTGGTATCAGTAACATAATAGCATGAGATTCGAGCCTTTGAGAGTCGGACAAAAACAAGCGATTGAAGAAGAGAGGTAAATGAAGACACGAATAAAAAACTAGGATAAAAAAGACCCAAAGAAGGAAGAGGAGAAGTAAAGAAGAGAAAGACTAAACGAAATTGAAAAGATCAGGTAGAATAGGAATTAAAACATTTTTATTTTCGATGATGAGAAACGGGATAAAGATACAAAGGCGTCACGTGAAGTCTAGACAAGGAGGAGGCAATGGAAGAGGAAGCTGGGAAATGGAGGTTTATCAAGGAAAGGAAATGACAAGGAACACTAAAAGAAAGATAACCCTGCCATCAAACAGTGAAGATGATAACGAAGAAAATGTAAAAAGAACAGCGAAATAGCAGAGATGCATATGGACAGAATCTTAACATCTAGGAGAGACAAATGATCCCAAAAGCAGTTATCCTTTTCCCGAATTTGGGTGTTGAATTTGCAAACTGGTTCGAAATCCAAATGAGATCTTATGTATAAAAGGAATATTCAGTTTTGCTTTATTCTTTTTAAAGTTTTTTTTTTTTATAATTTGATTGTAATGTAAATAAAAAGAAAAAAAGAAAGAGAGAGAGAGAGAAAAAAAAAAAGTTTAATGTTTTGCAAAGTCAAGAATTTTTGTACTTTCAAGAAATATTTTTATTCACTACATTGAATCTAAAGAATAAACCACAGAGAGGCTACACAAGATGGCGGCGGCGGGACCCGAGATCTATATAAGGGAAGCGACACAATGGCGTCGGTCAGTTTGCTCTTGCCTCTCCCCATCGAACGACCGACCCCGCTGTCGCCCTGGCTTTTGTGTCTCTCGCCGTCTGTGGTTCTGACCTCCTGTCGAGGGCTGGGGATCTTAGTGAAGCGGAGCAGCGGTTGATATCCGTGCGAGCAGGAGGAGAGCGCCCGTCAGGACATGCGACGGGGTTCGTGGTGATAAACAGTGCCGTGTTGAGAAGTGGTTTAGTCCAGTTTGTACTTTAATGTTGTGGGAACGGACCGCCATGACGGACCCCCCGCGCCCACTGTCACCTACGCCCATCTTCCGCCCCTGGCAGCCGAACTTGGCCAACCTCCCCATCAGCGACCAGCAGAAGCCACAGAAATTTAGATCCGCCCATTGCTCTGACAAGGATCGACCGCCCACTTCGCCCATGTCGTCACCAGGCAGCCTTCCAGTCCTCCCGACGCCCTCGCGGTCAGCGCCGCCCTCGCAGCCTGCCAGGGAGCCCCAGAAGCGCCGTCGGGAGGACAGCGAGGACGAGGACGTCGGCAGCAGAAGGAAGGTCATCAAAGGCGAGAAGGGCGCGCCCGCCCCCCTCACGACGCCGCCCGCGCCGTTCCCGGTGCTGGGTCTCCGCCCTCCCTCCCTGGCCATCCCGACGCCCACGTCTTTAGCCTCGCACATGGCTGGCTTCCCTGCAGGGATCTTCCCCGACCTCGCGAGTGGCGCAATAAGCTCCGCCATGCTGCCCGGGGGCTTCCCGCCGGCTGCGCTGCCCGCCCTCGCCCTGGCGCCCTCGGAGCAGGCTCTTCCAGGCTTGGCGGGAATGCCCGGGAGCGCTGTGCCCGGGCCGTGCGTGGCTTTGCGGGCGTGCCCGGGCCGCT